ACATACATAATTCACACTACACTGACATACAGTATGAATGGTTGTGTATCTCTCTCTCATCTTGCATCTCCCAATTTTCACTTTGCAACTTGCCAGCTCTGGATACGAGCTGTGTCAACGGAACAATTTGAGCTCTGGATTGACTCTCGAATTGGATTGCAGTATTACTCTGACTCGTATAAAGCCTCAGCTGCAATAGCCGTCTGAAGTAAACATAAAAAAGCAGTGCATATAAGGCTAAGTCAGCTTTGATACTGTAATGAGGCATTTGTAGCTATCATAGAAAAGCAAAACAAAATTAAAAAAATAGCGTTCATTTCTCATTCCCACACATTTGCATCTACAAAATAGTCTGGCGGCACGGTGAACACGCAGCCTGCATACTCCGCTCAAACGAAAAAGCACAGACCTTGACATGGTGCCACAATGCAACCGAGCACCATCCTGCGTTTCCATAGCAACTCACCCCAGTACCTTTTTTTCCCCAGATCACGGCAAAAAGAAAAAAAAAAAAAAAAAGGCAAAGAATAACAAACCGTGGCTGTTGTTACTAATATTTCTCTTGATGTCCCGCACCCCAGATTTTCCACTTTGTCTGATGCCACAATATGAAATCGGAAAACCAGAATTCAACAGATGCCAATTGAAGGGAGTACACATGTCGCGCTCAAAGTTGACGATGGCTTCAGTGGACGTGTCTGCTCGATTACAGAGAACAGCACTTACCATGTTTTGCACCATTTTCCATCGATGCTTTCTCAAGGACTAATTAAGCTAGGAGTATTTTTTACTTCTTTTTTTTTGCTCCCTCGGTGCAGAGAAATGCCAGAAACTAATTATGCGTGCTATGTCTGAGTCCTTGCTATAATTACAAGAAAATGAAACACAGGGAAAAAAAAGTCAATAAATATCACGACTGAGTGGATTCAAAGTGTTTTCTCGTCCTGGAGGGTTTGAGTCACTTTTGAGATGTATATCCAGATGATTAAAGTTTAAGTTGGGTTCAGTTCATTTTTGATCAAAAGTGTATTGATGAGTTGCCAGTTTTTAATGCAACTAAATTAATATCCATATGATGTTAACTTGTGAGTAAGTAAGAGGGGCATCAGTAAAAAACTACACAGCCGCTATCTGCGTAGTGTGACCTGGTCTGCCCTGTGGGCTTTGATCTAAAACTGGCACCATATCTAAGCCCTTTCATCTAGATGGAAAAGCAATGGTACAGGATAAATTGAGAATACATTACATCAGTGCTTCTAAAACTTTTTACACCAAGTACCACCTCAGAAAATTTCTCCACTGTGAGACGAATAAAGGTTTATCTTATCTTATCTCATGAAAATACTTGCCTCTACACTACAGTAGCGTAGTAAGCCTAAGTATTCATCAAAAAAAAGGCCAAGGTTTCATTCCTACATAAGTATATTTAATATTATCAGCCACTGTAACATTTTAGACAGTTTCAACAGTAAGACATATTTATAGGACTAGTGGTACGCGTGCCACACTTTGAGAACCACTGCATTACATGACTCACACCAGTCAACTTATAAATTGAGTTAACTCTGAGTTAGTATTTGTCTAGTAAAAAAATGCCACAATCTTTTATAAAATCATTGCTAAAACAGATATACCAGAGACATTTTTGTGCATTATTTCACAGAAGTGCCTCCTCTATTCTGTCCTGGGGGAATATAGCACGGAGCTACAGTGTTGCAGAAGTAAAATTCAAAAATCCCATAGGAGTTTTAAATAATCCAAATTTGACAACTTTGACGAAACTGCGATGAAGGCAAACTTAGCTCTGTGATAACTTCTTCCCACATACAGATCTTGTTGTCATTACTCGCCACATTGCTAATCAGCCCTGAACACATTGTCAATCTTTTGTATTTGTTAAATCCCTATGGGGTAATGTAATGCATGCACTTGGTATTAATAGATCCAGGAATGGGCGAGCAGTTCGCAGTTCCATTGGGAGTTTTAGGTAAGAATGTGTCTGGCGCTCAGGTCTTCCACAAAGTGCCGACATTGATTTCTCTCAATCTACATGTAGTGATTGATATGGGAAACTAGAGTGGCCTGAGGCAAGCCATTCAGACAGATGTGAGACTTAAAGGAATAGTTCACCGTTTGTACATACTGACATATGTTCTTACCTTACCTTAGACTAGTTAATACGTACCTGTCTGGTCCTAGTCCGTGCGCTCTGTCATGCAAACGGAGCAAAAACGGGAGCACAAATGCAGCCTCCTCTGGTCACTGTATAGTACCCAAAAGGTAGCTCCCGCTAGAAGCTACCAAACTCTTCCAAGTGTTCCCTATTAAATGTATATAGTTACGTGACGTGTTACACTGCAAAGTATAGTAACACAGAAATGTAACAGTCGATTTTCTCAGCGGATAAAACGGGTACTATATTGTGAGGCGTAGTAATCTGAGGTGCGCTACGTCCGCGCACTAACTTCTCTCCGGAGACTTCTCTCTCGCTCACTTCCGTCAATAGAAGCAGCGTGACTTGTAATACACACAGTAGCAGCGAGAGAGAAGTCTCTGGAGAGAAGTTAGTGCGCAGAGAAGTTAGGAGCGCTACGTCCGCGCACTAACTTCTCTCCAGAGACTTCTCTCTCGCTGCTACTGTGTGTATTACAAGTCACGCTGCTTCTATTGACGGAAGTGAGCGAGAGAGAAGTCTCCGGAGAGAAGTTAGTGCGCGGACGTAGCGCACCTCAGATTACTACGCCTCACAATATAGTACCCGTTTTATCCGCTGAGAAAATCGACTGTTACATTTCTGTGTTACTATACTTTGCAGTGTAACACGTCACGTAACTATATACATTTAATAGGGAACACTTGGAAGAGTTTGGTAGCTTCTAGCGGGAGCTACCTTTTGGGTACTATACAGTGACCAGAGGAGGCTGCATTTGTGCTCCCGTTTTTGCTCCGTTTGCATGACAGAGCGCACGGACTAGGACCAGACAGGTACGTATTAACTAGTCTAAGGTAAGGTAAGAACATATGTCAGTATGTACAAACGGTGAACTATTCCTTTAAGGGCACGTGCCTCATGGGAGTCGAGCCACTGTGCTGCTGCTGAAAAATGATCAATGGTTCCCCGTCTCTGCACTGATGCAACAGTACAGTTTTGCCCACATGTTTCTAACCCCTAAAGCCGATGGGACTGAAATCTTTCTGAGGCGGTGAAGTGTATCAGTCAGAGGATATGATAGATTCAATATTCCAGACTAAGATTTGTTCAGGTCAGAAAGATTGATTTAAAGCAAAACGGCAGCTCCCTATCCTCAAGCATACCGCCAGTAGCCATAGCCCAAACCAAACTTGTTGTGGTTATATGTGTTTTTAAGTATGTTAACAAGAGGTCTATCAATAGGAGTTTTCTGTGGCTGAAGTTTGACTGTCTGATTCTTCAGATTCTTCATTATTATTATTATCATTTTGATTTGAAGGTTAATACAATTTGATTAGATATTGATGCGAATATGCTCATTTTAAAGCAGAACAGAAAAGCATCGGTAGTAAGTTGGGCGGCATGGTGGCTGAGTGGATAGCACTTTCGCTTCTCAGCAAGAAGGTCTTGGTTTCGAATCCCGGTCGGAACTAGGGGTGTGACGATATATCGATTTTTCGATATATCGCAATACTTTCTCCCGCGATTCGATTATCGATATGCATTTGCCAAATATCAATATCGATTTTGAAAAAAAAAAAAAAAAATTAGATTTTTTGTTTTGTTTTTTACAATTTTTTTTTTAAAATTGGTATAAATACTTAATATATGGCTACATTACGCATCTCCATTCTATTTATCATGAAATAAAGAGTAATTTTTCTTTTATTTATGCCATAAATTGGCATATTGTATATTTCTGACCAATATATCAATAATTGTCATATCGTGATCAAATCGTTATTGTGATATTATCGTTATAGTGAGCTTTGTATCGTGTATCGTATCGTATCGTGAGGTACCCTTAGGTTCCCACCCCTAGTCGGAACAGGGCCTTTCTGATCGGAGTTTGCATGTTCTCCCTGTGTCTGCGTAAGTTTCCTCCGGGTACTCCGGTTTCCCCTACCACTAAAAACATGTACAATAGGTCTGGCATGCGCCTCCTGTACTGGCGACCCCGCTCCCATCTCTGTGTGGAGTGAGAGACTAATGCCCACAAATAACAGTTGTCAACCGCTTTGTGACTCTGGTCAGTGAAAGGGGGTATACTGTATAAATAAAGATTACTTACTTACTTACTATCCAGCATTTTATCCGTACCTGTAATTAATTAAGAGGATAAAGCTGAACTTAAAGATACAGTAATATATCAGGCCAATATTTTAACAACAACCTGTATTTTAGTATCTAAAACTTTTTTTAGAAACCTGCACTTTTAACTTATGCAAGTTATATGATAATATTGTCAAAGGCTACAGGTGGAAAGTAGCATGGTTTTAAATCTGGTGCAGTCGTCTTTTTAATCGTCCTTAATAAATCAAACTTCAAATAATGATGTAGAATGATCTTTTGTGCAGTGCCTTTTGCCTACTGTGCAGGTGTTCACACAGGACTGCAAAAAAATTGTCACAAAAGTTATGCAAATATGGGAATATACAGGATTAAAGAACTGAATATAAATCTATAGAAGGCGTGTCAAAATAATGTCAGTAATTCAGGACAAAGAATAAGATATTTCCCCAGATCACAGCTTTGAGACTCACACCTTTAAATACTTTGATTCTCAAAATCTAAGGCAGCCGTGTCAATCACTAACCAGATTTCCATGCACTCAATACTTCCTTTTGAGTTATAAACAGCCAGGCGACAGACAGTCAGACTTCTGCTTTTGATGCAATGGGAAAAAAGACAAAGTCATCTTATATAACGAGTCCCGGTCTATAGATGTTGCATAACCTCATATTTATGGCCAGAGAAGGCGAAATAAACAGGACACATTTAAAGGGCGACAGACAAGTGGTGCTCTTACCTTCTGGAGACTCTTCCTGCACATAAGTCCCTGTCAAGTACCGGTGGACCAAGGCAGACTTCCCACTGGACAGATTACCCACAATCCCCTGCAAAGGCCAAAAAGCAACATGGTTATTAAGCGCAAGAAGTGGCGAAGAATCAGTGCCGCACCACAACTAAAATAGCAAGACCTTAATTGGAGACATGATGGATGGGAGTTGTTTTTCCCCCGTTTTGAATTTAGCACAAATGGGTAGGGATATTATTACGCAAGTCTGAAACTTTTATGCGTCTGCAAAGTCTTATTGCAAGGTCATAAAGTCTTATCTATGCAAATGAGCTGCAGGTCCATTTAAAGTTCATGTTGTTATTGTCGTAAAAACGGGCATAATTCTGGCCAGACAATTATTTTTGCAATTATTGTTCAATGATTACTTCAGTGTGGCTGTGCAGTCAAAAACGCAATCAAGCAGCACAAAAGAATGAAGTATAAATGCAACTTTAAACAAGGACAGAGAGTATATATCACCACTAATACAAAGCAATGCAGGCAAGTTTTTGTTTTTTCAACAAGAAGATAATATGTATTGCACTCATGGTTAATGAATGGATGAATGTAGATTAATTATGAATGATGTGGAAAAGGTTTGGCGCGGTTTAGACTCCAGCTGGGAATGATGAGCGATGCACAGGTGGCGCATAGCAGGATATGAGATGAGAATAATCCTCCTGGAACCTCCATAATGCTGGCAATGGTATAGTGTACCGAGGTGGTGAAGAAGTGCTCATGGACAAAGGCAAATTAAATTATCAATGTAGAATGGATAGGGTCCAAACAAAGAAACGTATTGGTTTTGTGTTTTTAATATGGAGAAAAATGGTCTCACCTATTACCTGTGTATCTACAATATCTTTCCTTAGATTCGTAGTTATTTATAAATAGTGTGTATGTTCAAAAATCCCAAAAATTATTTGCAAGTGATTTTCCAACTCACTCTGGCTCCTATTGACTCGCATTGAAAAGTGAACTCCTCTAGCTGAGTAATCGTTTGTGTCACACTCACCACTATACACTCACTATGGTCTTTTGAAAGTGGAGTCAATGTAAATGTAAATGTGGACTTTCTATATCCCAGTAGGGAACTTTGTCCTCTGAATTGACCCATCCTGAAGCCATGCCACTATAGGGCCTCTATCAGGAGCAGGGAAATGAATATAAATGAATAATGTCATGTAACCGGAGGTCACAGACAAGGAAATTGCTTAAAATCATGGTTTAGGGCTCCCAATAATTGTTATTTTTTTATATTGTTATATTTATAATATATTGTTAATCCAGATTTGAGCCATAAAGATTGATGCCTTGAATCGTCGGGGAAACTCCAGTTTACCTTAGTAACCATGTTAGCAACACGTTAGTTTAAATCGGCTTCTTTAACATTTAGAAAACACTATGGGTGAGGTCAGCACTCGGTCTGGTCCTTCTACAGTCTATGGGGCTAACAACATTTGCAAATAGCTAAATCTATCCATGAGTGTCTCTGAATGGTACAAAACTGCCATGGTAATTAACAAATCAAAATGTATGTATATGTTTTATTGGACAATTATCCTAAGAATATTGCAAGAACTAAGCTAAAAGTTATGAATACGTTTATTTTTGTCTAGAAGCAGAATATTGAACTACGATAGAAGAACAGTTTGTCCCCAGTTCGTAATTCTCACTCTGCAATAACTTGAAGCTATTAAATCACCATTTTGTATCTTTCTGAAGGAGGAAAATTACCTGCATGAATCAATGGAAATATAATGTGAAAACAACACTGAGGAACATTCCCCAGGCCAGATGAGTCAGGTTTGTGGAGATGCAAGGACAAAACATTTTTACCTTTAGACGGTGTTTAACAAGAAAGTGTATTGAGTGGCTTAGAATTTACATTTAACAATCACAACATTTCAACATATTTGATCATTTACAAGTCACAAATTTTTCACTAATTTATGAGATATAAAGAAGAATAAATATCATGCATTTGCTTTGGCTGTTAAAATATCACGTTGATTTACAATTTTTCATGTTTTATAAAGTAAAATATTTTTTTCAGTAGAATATATATGGTGAAACACGGAGGAATTTTTAGCCCAAAGAAATTCTGTTACCAGAAGCAGATCGTGTAGAATCTGTTTTGTATCCAAAAAATTACCGGCCAAAACCCAGCCTTGCGATGGGAAAGAACGCAATTTCACATAAGACATTTCCACATGAGACATTTCCAAAACTGATTTATGGCCAATAGAGTTTTTTTGAAACACAGAAAACTGCTCTGTGTGAGTGTGATGTCATAGTGGTAGAATGACATCATACTGTTACAGAACTGAGCAGAGCTTTTAGAAAGAAGGGGCCAAATTATCTCCACCGGTGTGAATGGATCTAAAATTTAAACAACTTCAGTTCTGTGGCTGAACAATGGTAAGGGGCAAGTGCTGAACCTGTTTTAGTTGATCAATTTCACAGTCAATTGCTTATTTTAGTTGGTTTTATTTCTGTACTTTTAACATTGTGTATGTATTGTATGTACTTATATTGTGCACACTGGGGACTTTTGCAAACGTATTCTGCAAATGGTGAATCAAATGAATCTGAATAAATAAGATTGAAAAAAAACCAGGCATTCAAATCATAAACAATCACTGTACATTAAAAAGAGAAAAGGTAAAATCCTTCAGTTGTATGCACAGCTAACCTGGATTTGAACATTGTCAGAGAAGAAACCTGTCTCATATTTTCAAGAAGGCTGTTCAAGATTTTAGCTGCATTAATCTGAAATGTTGGAATATTGTTAAAACAAGTTGAGTTTTATAACCCGTCTCCTAAAAACATCTGCAGTGCTAAATAATGAACCAACCAATAGTAAAAATTCTGGCTTTTTTTTTTTCTTTTTAGTTCTCTTTGTTGCTGACTGCGTGTGGCTCTCCAACAGATGTTTACATGTAATCGCTTTTGATTGTTATGTTTTTCCTGCTTCCTCTCCCCATAATCTACAGATCAAGCCCGAGCTCTCATTTTGCCATGTCTTTGGGGCAGCAGCACAGGCCGAATATAGTGGAGGGTGAGCCTGCCGTGTCCGTGCATCTGGGAAGAACAAAGTCCCCTCTCCCCTCCTTTTTTCTTACCCACCACGGCCCGATCGTTGCTGCATCATTAGTGGCGGCAGGTATGGTCCTAATTATAGAGGGGTTTAAAACTCCAGCGACGCCAGGACTTCACCCAACCCCCCCAATCCCATCTCTGCCGTTTGGTATTGATGTATGGCAGGCAGCCGCAGAATGGAAGGTTTGAGGTTAAGACAAAGTTTCAAGCCTGAGCACTCGGAAACATTGGAGTTGACAAAAACGGTCTTAAAACATACCGCAGACTTGAGGCCTCCCGCTGTTTTTAAGGTCGAAACTTTGTGGGTCGCCGTTCTATAGTTGACATCAAATGAAAATGTTGTATCAGCACAGTTTTACTTTTAACTGTGGCTTGAAAGACCCGGCATGGATGTTTGAGGAACAGGGAAAAGGGGAAGAATTCTTTTAGATGTACTTCAATATTCCAACTTTGCATAAGCGAAACGACTGAAGGTGTGTTGACAACTACTTAGGGTATGTACACACACAAACACAGCGTTATAAAATCCAAATGGAATGAATTAAAAGATTTCCAGGACTACGCTGATGCATGTGTAATTATTAATGCTGGTCAATAAATGGCTGTTTTTGTTGGAAAAAAATAAAATAGTCCACTGCATAAATCTGGAGAGTGAGTATGGCTTTGGCGTTAGATTACAATAAATTAAATCTGTTTTTAGTTAGAAAATTATCAGAAATGTAACAAGAAAAACAGGCTATTTCATCAAGTGGGATTTCTGGCATCGCACAACTAGTAGTAGTAATCTTTATTTATTTATTTATTTATAAATAAATAATAGAATTTGCAAACTTGAAAAGAGGACTAAAGTAGGAGAAATTCAGGATTTAGGTCTTAACCCTGTCTAAACTGTTAATTTGTTAGAAGACATGGGAAACCGCTAAAGGAAGATTTTTTCCCTAAATTATTTTCTTCCCCCTTTATAACAGATCACATTTTGCTTAATCTCTGACGGCTATTGCATACAAATTTTTTCTCATTTCTAAGTCTGGATTGCAGTGAAAACTCTGGGATTTTTGAATGTACACACTATTTATAAATAATACAATTCCAAAAATATGAATAAAACTAAGCAATCTTCAAACCAGGTCCAAAGTAAGACATTGCAGATACACAGGTAATAAGTTAGACCATTTTAGACCAACAAAACTCATAACTATTCCAAGAAGTTGCTGTGTTTTGTTTGATAATTTAATCTCCTGCCATTGCTGGTTAAAAGAACAAGTTGAAGGTGTATAGAAAAAGAAAACTTATTTCAGTGAAATATGGCCACAGCTTATGCACTCTGACTTGTAGCAGCTGAGCCCAAATATTGGATTTTAATAAGCTGCACACTCACTGCTCCCATAGTCTTCCATTTTGGAGAAGTCCCTAAAAATCAGTGAATTGTCACATTTATTCTGAAACCCGTTGTCTCTGCTGGAGGACTGCAAGCTTTAAGTTTAAAAGAATAATATAGAAGCTAAATCTGAAAGTGACATTTAAAGAGATTTGATAAGGAAGACATGTTTTTCATATGGACTTTTTCAACTTTAATCACTCACTCAAATACAGGCCATGTGTTGTTTTTTTTTTAAAGTTGTTTTTAAATCCATCCACGCCAATATCAGGAACTTCTGATACATTAATTGTACTACTGACATAAAAAAAAAAAACACTTCCCAGGTGAAATTACATTCTTCACAATCACATGGGTTGTATTTTAACATTTTGAATTTGAAAAAAATTAAAATCTCTCCTCTTCCTCTGGTGGTAGCATAGAGAATTACAAGCAGAAAGCATTTGTTACGCTTCATATTTTCAAGACATTATTTCACAGTATTTTACTAAAACATGACATCACAAATCAATAGAATAGAATAATGCATATGGTTGAAAACATTTAAACTGATTTGCTGATTATTAGCAAAAAAAAAGTTTCCACAATAACTTTCAACTTTAACTTCTAAAATGAAACGAGGTGAATGATGATTTGACAACTTTCACATCACTTCATTCACAACAATACCGGCTCCCAGTTGGCACAATAGCCAATTTTCTATCCAAAAAGGAACATATGGATTCAAAGCTAATAGCTTCTAAGAACTAGGGTTGGAACAGCTTGACCTTGCAAGAAACTGCTGTTAAATTAGTCATTGATGAGAGCACTTGATTTCACCATTTCATGTTGCTCGGTCGTACATTGACGGTGCCAACTGACACTCTCCAAATCTAAAAAGGAACAGCGATTTGAAGTGCCATTCCCTTTGGAGAGCGGCGTGCATTGAATCGCAGCTTTATTGTACTAAGTGACAACAATGAAGGTGGAATATTGTATCAGCCGGCACAATGGCGGAGTACGCTCATAGAGAGATGGTGCTTAAATCATACGAGAGCTGGTTGTTCCTTTTGGCAGTAGCCGCGTTGTTGGGGTGGGATCAGACCCAGGATGTGTCACCGGTCTAGCCCAAAACTGTCAATCAACGCACGTCCTGCTGCAAGGGCCCTCTTTGTGTCTCCATGACGACACGTTCTCATTAGAAAGGCACACATACATACGCTCAAACCACAAATCAACTTTTTTTTTAATTCATAGACTGCATAAATATGTTTCTTATAGTGCTCACTACTTTTCCATGTCACGTTTTTGACATTTTAGTGCTATTAGATATAGTCTCACTTTTGAGCCTAAAACAGTCTGTGTGGCGCCCTCTCCAGCTTTTTGGTGGCACTACATTTGAATTTGGTGCCTGGCTTCTCCATTGGCTCTGGAGTGATGTGTGAAGTCAGTTGGTACTGTGTGACGTGCGTCTTTCTGCGACAGTGGTATAAACCCATCCAAGTATCACACACGCCCCAGTAGCGAGTTGGAGTATTATGGCGACATCTAGAAAATTAAATTACATCAGTTGACAGCCACTACTGGTGAGATAATTCTGTGGCTTAGGTCAAGCTGCAATTATCTTAGTGTGTAAACAAGGGTGGAATGAGAATTTCTGGTGTGTAAACTATTGCTTTAAGCAGCAATAGGCTGTGATGGAAAAGCAAGCTGTCAATCACAGCCCAGAACACGCCCGGGTCCTCCATGCAAAGCCCCTTTTTAGAGAGAATGTTCAAACGTTCATGTGGGCAGAGTAATGCTGGGCACAGGTGTTTAGTTGTCCTTTAAAAGTGCAACAAGAAAAAAGTTACTCACCACTTTGAGTTCTGGCACGGATCGACTCAATGTCCATTCTTGGCTGTTTACGAAGGAATCTGCAAGAGAGAAAAGGGGACACGTACAATTATGGACTATGGCGTAGAGATGATGGCTGCATTGCTACATGGAAGGTGTCGTGCAAGCTGCAATGTCTATCAATAGACCCATTGATTGCATCATTCAGAGAGGAACTATAAGCGCTCATACTGATTTCAAGAACAAAAATAAGTAGCACAATTTTACAACAACAAAAGCAGGTTGATGACATCTAAAGACGCTCTTTCACTGGTACAACTTAAAGACTTCATATTATAGCGTAGTCAATTCGAACAATGAAAGACTAAATCCCGCTCTCAGTAAAGCTTCCTGGCTCTGGCACACGCTTGTTCAATAGATAATGAGAGAGTTTGTGTTGTTTGCCACATGTGTTTAAACACTGGTGTTGCAGCTTGTACTCTGAAATATCATCAGAGCAGGCTATTTATATCTGCGGTTCTACGGTTGCTATGGTCACTAATTTAGCACATGACTTTACTACAGTGGATTTCACACAATGTATTGATAAAGTTTGATGTGTCTGTGTGAGCATGAGCACGATAAAAAGCGACTGTGTCTGATCGTAAAAAACACAAAGCAATTTCATTTTCAATAATAGGTTAAAAATCATGTATTCTCCAATAAAACAAAAGTTGATACAGTTCTATGTTTTGTTAATTATGTCTAGGAGAATTGAGTGTTTCACTGGGTCAATGAAGTAGAAAAACTTCAAAATGGACCGAGTTGACAGAGAAGAAAAATAACAAGCAAAACATTGGGTAAACAATTAGTTTGCCACACAACCAACATCCTTGACGGTTGCCTGTCGGAATCGCTGCTAGTCTATCTCTGCTTTTTCTGATTCCTTTGTAAATATCTGTTGTTGTATGTGAAGTGTGTTTTTATTGTGTGATGTATGTTTTTCTTGCTCTTATATTATTGTATGACTTTTTTATGTTATTATCTTTAGGGAGACTACTGTATGTACACAAGTCTAGGGACTGCAGATGAAAAATAGCTCACTTAGCCAATTCTGGTGCATTCACAGAAATGTTTATTAATGCACAATGTCCCCGTCAAATAAACTAATGAAAAATAAAAAATAAACTGGTATAACAATGATCAGAGCAACTATATCGGCTTCAACATGAGTTTGGTTAATCCTTCCACGGCAGACACCTCCGATGAGACCTGATCCAGCTTGTCGACTTTTCCACTGGCATCTCGGTAAAGATTACTTAGAGAAAGACCTCCAGCTTCTTTACCGCCTTACTTCTTTCGCACCGAACTCTGTCACAACAGCAATTAGAACAAAGACTCCCTTCCTGCCGAGGATCTGAGCTTCCCCAACCAAAACATTCTTAAAAAACCGAAGCAGTCTTCAAAACAGGCGTAATGTGAGGCTGACCCACTCATGTCTGAACCATGACAATTAAAAGTGTTCGGTTTAACACAAGCACTTTACAACTGTGAGCTTCAAGAGTTGCAACAAAAAGTGCCGCGAGGATTGCTTAAAGAATGACAGCCTAAACACTAAGCATTCAAACTTACCACTATTTTTCACTCCCGGAGCGCATTCAAATAGTACTTTGAGTCACAATGGGAAAGGGGCCTGCCAAAGTACCTTCTAACCCACTGCAATTAGAGTCAAATGGAACCCAGCCCGCACATAGAATATTTACTTCTTTCTGACCCCTATTTACAATGAGGCTTGTGCTTGTGCTCGAGGCGACTCTCTTGTTGTGGTGGAGAGAGATGGAGCCTCCCCAAAAACACACAGACGTCTTTTATGTAGCGTGGGTTAGACATGTCTCCACACGTGCCCGGACGATGCACATAAGAGTCTACGCGGTGACAACATTTCCAAAAAGGTTATTAGATCATTCTCCCCGAGGCTTTCCAACATAAGAGCTATTGTTACCAGTAGATTTTCACTGTAACAAGTGCTTATCTTTGATCAAGTGCTTTGGAAAGTAACCCAACAGTGGCTCTATCCTGCGGTGTATCACTTTAGTAGAATGGAATAACAGGTCTGGTTACTATTGTCGTGGATGCGGGAATACAGTCTAAACGGCAACTGGTGGAGCTGCTTTGTGGCTTTCAGATTATTGTGAGATATTTGCTTTTGATATAGCTGTTAATGTGTATGTGGAGATTTATAATCCGTCACTCAGCAATCAGTGGTGATGGAAGTGAGGCTACCACTTCCATCAGTCCAGACCACTCACTCAAATTCATGCATGTTTTGATATTTTGAATGATGGGGGGGGAAAAGTGTGCCAACAAAAGTATGTAGAAAACACATCCAGGCATGAGAAGAAACATGTAAATTCCACAGAGAAAAGCCACGGATTGAAGCCCGAGAAGCGCTTTGTGTTACCCTGTGCAGGAAAAGCGCTCTATTAATGAAGATTGATTGATTGATTGAACCCACAAATTTCTCGCTGTCGACACGTCTAGAATTCTGCTTAAAAAATAAAAGTATTTCTTGGAATCTGAAACTTTATTAACTTTTTGCTAAGATGGTCATAGAAGAGCCTCAAATTAAAAGGTATATATGAGGATACTTCCAGGTGAATCATCAAGACAATTGGTCCTCCCAATTGTCAATCATTCTGGTGATAAGTGCAATCAAATAAGACCAGAAAGATTTGTTCAAAAAGTGGAAAAAAAATTGGGAAATACCTCCAATATACCTTCAACTTCATTATACTTTGAAACGGGCTGCACCTGTAATTGCTGATTAAAAAAATAAAAATAAATGGGGAAAGATTTCTTATATCGCTTGAGTCCTGTGTCATTCCAATGGTGTGCAAATCTACAAATGGCCTACTGATGGAGAACATTGCTACTGTGTCTATGCATCAAAAACAGTGGTTCTAGGCCAGTGGTTCGGATGGTCATTCTATTATTGTGAGTATTTCAGTTTAAAACTCACAGTTGGGAGTTTCTTTCTCCAACTCCCACTGCAGATTTACTACAGCTTGTCAACCATACAGCTTCTATGGGAGATTCGCCCCAAGCTGAAAAGCATTATGGGATTTGAACAAATGGTGAACACTAGTATTTAAAAACACATTTGCCAAAAGCACATTTTGTCATTTCCGTGCTATTGTCTTAATGTATTTGGCTTGTTTGGAAGCATTCACAAAATATGGTCATCCCCTCTGCCTCTCTAGATTAGTCAGGCCAACATCTTTGTCGTACTTTTGCACTTTTACATGGTTGACATATAACCTTTTCTCTAACAAGCGAAAATGTTACTACCTTGGCACATAATTTTTCTGATTTCACAAGGGCAAAGTTGTACACCTCTTCTCCAGGATACTTTCGAGAAAGGCCAGCACATTGATTAACATGCGGAGAAATAAAATGTCACCAAAGGCCAACAGCCAAATGGACTTTTTGTGCGGTGACACCTTTGGAACAGCACATTCCCGTATCACTGACCATAACAACAGCACATATCCATCGAGGGGGGCAAATGTTGGCTCGAAAGATGACTGCTGCCATGACAGAGCCCCTGAGCTGTTAGGGGTGGCGTACCTGTTTATTACACTAATGATGTGGGAATGACAAACAACTGGAGCTCCCACAAGATAATTTTTTTTCTCTGTCAGATATAAAACTTTGAGATGTGACAAACCACTCTTGCTCCACTCAGTTTTGTTAAGATTGAGTTTAGAGATCCCTTATTTGTCCCACAGTGGGGAAATTTCAGTGTTGCATCACCGGTTACAGAATTGTAGGAATCAGGAGCATACAATGAGGGCAAGAAACTAGACCAGGCATGGGCAAACTTTTCCTCCCGAGGGCCACATTGGATTATAAGACCGCTGTTTCTAGGCCAGCCCAAATTTCCAATGTTATTCTCACAATTATTTTTCTACATATACATATATTTTATTGGAAAGTACATGTCAGCAAAGCGCGACCGTGGCTCCAGAGTTCTGTAAGCAGCATTGAGGGATGTTATTATCTTTCTACTATATCTGTATAAACTGAGTAGGGCCCGATAGAAACGGGCCGCATCTAGCCCACGGGCCGGGGTTTGCAGACAACTGAACTCAACCCTCCTGCATTCTTGTATCTCAAGACACAGCAAAAATAATGTGTACATATTATTTCTTTATATTGCCAAAGTAAGAATGTGTTTTTGTATGTCTTCTGGTATGGACCTTTTACTCTTGTGTCCGAAATAAAGTATTGAATTGAATTGAATATCCAAACATGGCTTCTTGCCTAATCAAACTGCCTCATGTCTCACCATAGTAACAGAACTATTTTCAGAATGCATTCATGATCATATTACATTATTCTCCTGTGCAGAATTAGGGTACCTAACGTTTGTGGGAGCCAGTTCCAAAAAAATCAACAACCCCCTAATCGAATCCATGTGCCCCGTTTTGCGTCATGCTTTAAATATGAGCCGCCCCACATTACTGTCCCAGAATGCCTATGGAAACAGAGAGAGCCCCCTTCACCCAGGATGCCCAGAGGAGGACACCGCTCTCTTTGTCCGTGCTATGGAGAGAAAACACGAAGTTGCTAGATTGTTTGTCAGGTCTTTCACTTCACTGCCCATGTCCGCTTACATAAAATTGCCCATTCAGTGCGACGGGAGTGAGGCGCGATCATGTGGGAGTACAATGTGAGCTGAATCCTCGTAGTGCCTATGGTAGTGAGTGCAAGTTCACCGAGTGGGTTTTGAAATGGTAGAGGAAAACTTTGAGGTCTCGCCTGAGCGCTGTGGCTCTGACTTGCCTCCTGACCAAGGCTTTCCCATCGCAGCACCAACCCTCGATCTCCCAACCCGTAACCCCAACGTCAAAAACCCCCCCACCAAATCCCCCCTTCTTTCCCCCGACAAACCACACCCCCCGCTCAGCTAACAACACTCAC